GTTCCGACAAATTTTTAAATTTCGTCAGAAAATTCGTCGGAATTAGTTACATTAATTTCTCTGACGCCCGGGAAAAGTAAACGGCAATAAATTTAATGCCCAATCTCCGACGGAATTTCCGACGACCATATTTGTCGGAAATTGGACATTAAATCTCGCGAATCTCGTAAATGTAGAGGGAAAGTTAATTGGTTTGAAATTCCCGCTGCATTGTTTCCGACGAATTTCCGACAAATATGGTCGTCGGAAATTGTTATATATATACGACTCACAGATTTTTACCTCTTACACACTTCTCACTCTATAAAAACTATAAAATCTCTCTACAAGTTTCTTATCTCTCTGTGATAAACAAACGTTAATGTAAGATGTTTAGTTTTATTTTCTTCATAATTTTGTTTATAAAATTCAAAAGACTAATTATAAATTTTTTATTTGATTAAGGAGATGGATAATGGATCGTGGAGTGGATATATGGCGTATTGTAATGAACGTGGGTTTGCTCCGGATTTGAATCTTGGGCAAAATTTTGGTTCCGAAACCCAACCACCGGATGATTTTCCCATGGAGGACACGGAAGTTCCGGAGACGGAACCATTGGCGATGCCTACACGGAATGATGATGCAAATCCACTCGATTCTATGACGCTAGACCAATTACTCCGTGCTCCGGGTTGAGATAAATTGAAAAAGATCGACCCAAGCCGTATGAACGGAACAACTTGGTAAGAAATTGTATTATTTAATTTATAGTTTTACGTAGATAATCTCAATTAAATAATTTGGTAATTATAGGTATAGATTCGATAAAGGATTCACAAAGATTATCAAGAAAATCATGGAGAGCGATTTCCCCGATCCCGCTCCGAATATTACGTCGGTCTCCGGAGACACAAAGAAACGTTGGTTTAAGGCATTTGCGGTTAGTTTATTTAAATAAAATTTATGCTTTATTTACTTTGTTTATAATTTTAGCTAAAAAAATTAAATTTTAAAATTTTACAACACTAAAAATATATATATTTTAAATTTTTTAACATTGTAGCAAAAATTTTATTGGGATTATGGTCTTACGGCCGAAGTACAAGAAAAATTTGAGGAGATATGTGGGAGTCGTTTATTGGATTATGTTTATGGATGGAAAAAGAAATGGCTTAACGGGAAAGAAAAGCCAAAATGGATGCGAGAAAACGTTTGGCAAGGGCTTATTGCATATTGGTTACAAGAGCAAAATAAATCCTGTAGTGAAACTAATTCTCAAAATCGCAAGAGTGAACGCGGAGGCTATGGCATGGCTAAACATACTTGTGGATCAATGCCATATGTCCGGAAAAAGGAAAAAATGGTAAATAAAAATTTAAATTTTTTACATTTCAATTTGCATTATAATAAATTTTATTGTAAATTTTTAACTAATAAATATTTTAAATGCAAGCGTAATCCCGAAACCGGTGAGTATCCCGATATGGTGACATTCATGGAGGAGACTCACAAACGGAAATCGGACGGGACATTTGTTGATAAAAAAGCTGAGGCAATAGCTCGTCGATGTCGGGAGATGGAGAAAGAGAAACTCACACAATTGAGTCAACATTCGGACTCGCCTGATGATTATCAACTCACCCAAGCAGAAAAAAACGATATTTTCCGATCGGTAAGTAATAGTAATTAAAATATTATAATTTAGATAATATGTTTTATTTCCTAACAACATTTTCATTATAATAGCAAGTTGAAGTTAAAAAAGGACGTAGATTTGGATTCGGTTCCGGAATGGATCCATTCCGTTTGACGAAGACATGGGCGGAAGTTCGTCATATTCACATGCACACGTGAATTGTCAAGAAAACGCAGCCGAAATAATAGAGTTGAAGAGTCAATTAAAAGATTGTAAGTTTTGGATGGATATGATGGCCCGTCTTCATCCCGACCTCGTTCCGCCTTCTCGCCAAGATCAACCCGGAAATGAAAATGAAACAAATAACGTTGACAATCTATTTGATAATATATAATATTCGCGTTTGTAATAATTTTTAGTTGTTTAAGAACTTATTAATGTTTAATTATGTTTTTTATATTATGTGGTGAATTTTATTTTTTTTAATTATGTTTTTATATAATATTTGTGTTTGTTTTATTGAATTATTACAATTAAATTAAATTAATATTATTTAATTTAATTAATTATATTAATTAACAATAAAATATAAAAAATATAAATATATATATATTTTTAATAAAATATAATATTTCGTCGGAAATTCATCGGAAAATAATAAAAAAATACGATTTGTCGGAAATTCGTCGGAAACTATTAAATATATTATTATATTATATTTTGACGAACTTCCGACGATTTGTGGTCGGAAAATCGTCGGAATCGTACTCGATCTTGCGGCGTCGTTTGTAGGAATCTCCTCGGAATGGCGTCGGAATATGCCGTCGGGATATCGTCGGCAATTTTCCGTCGCTATTCTGACGGACATTTCCGACACCTTTCCGACGGGCTTTCGACGAATATTTCCGACGATTTTCCAACAAATATTTCCGACGAATTTTCAAAAGAAAATAGGATCATTGTTGCTTCAAAAGAAAATTTTACGTTTTTAAAAATAGTCAAGAAAATGTAATACCCAATGAAAGATCATGCAAACAGCCCACATGGTTTGAGAAAATTCTAAACAAGTTATCACACATTACACATATACTATTAACTCTATATATATATTTGTTAACATAGAAATAACTTGAATGAATTAGAATCAAGAATGAAAAGAAAAACAGTAGATTTACACTATTCATATTCAAATTTAATATAAGTAATATTAGCATATATAATAAAGTTTAGAACTACGAGGACGAAGTCATAAATTAGAGACGTAAGCCAAAAGGTCTAAGACAACTACTTTGACATTTTTATTCATTTCCTCACTTCAACATTTTGTACTATCAAAAATATATAGCTTCCTCTTCCGTGCCTTCGTTGATGAAAGAGGAAGAGACGAGAAATGGGGCGGAGCTTCCGTCGGAGTTGACATCTTCAATAATGAATCGGCTTGACGTGATATATTGATACTGTAAAACGCTCAAAAAGTGTGCATATCATGGCGTCGCGTCAGCAAAGACCCTTCCATGTGGCAAAAGATTGACATGTACAACCCCATAGAATTTGGAATCCCGAAGTATGACCTCGAGATCATGTGTCGTCACGCAGTTGATCGTAGCCAAGGTGGTTTAGGCCGTGTTCTTTTCTTAGTCCCTGAACTAGCGATAGCGACAAAAACAAAATAAAAGACCCAAATACTTTACTTAGAGAATAGGCCCATGTAGAGAAAACCAGCGGCAGCTTTAGTTTAATAAAGACAAAAACGATCGGAGATGGAGTCGCTGGAAAAACCAGCGTTCACCGGCGACACCAAATTTTCCAAAATTACTGCCGTCGCCTTTTTTAATATGTCGCTGGGTTAGTTTTAGCGACACTTACTAACAAAAATTCAGTGTTTTTTCCGGTATCGCTAACTTCGGTCCTGCGATAGAGAAAAGAACATGGCCTTAGTTGAGATCAATATTTCGAATTTTGGTACTGATTATCTTCTCAATTACGTCGCTGCTAGGTTTTGTCTCTTTATCTCTCTCTCTCTCCATGTGACTCAAGAGCAGGAAAATTATTGTTAGCTTATGATTGTTTTTGAAGTATTTTGTGTCAAACTCTTGTTGTTAATTGTGAACCAGAACATTACACCAAGAAATCTGAAATGCTCGTTTTCTCTTATTGAAAAACAGAGAATGCTTTGTCTCTTAAATAAACAAAAGCACTAAACAACTAGATCCAAAAAAACTGCAACAACTTGTACTTGTTTCCTACATCTCAAGAACACAAGACTTATTCAAATTGACTAAATCAACAACTAGCAACTACTAATTCAAACCAACAGACTTATTGCTTCACTTGTTATCTAGATTTGTTTTGTCTCTTTCCTTTTATTGGTTCTGTGATGAATGCACTTTTCTGGACATTGAGTCACTTCGAAGAGGGTTGAATTGAATGTGTTTAGTTTTCAGGTTTGAGACTGTTATTGTTTAGCTGTTAGTCCATTTTGGACTAGAAAACATTTACATGTTTTTAGGATTGTTATGATTCTGAAGTTTAAATGTTTAGCTTCAGGTTTTATTATTGTGCTATATATATAAATCATTTGCATCTTTATCTTAGGTTATGTTTTAAACTTTTACACACGATTACTTGCTGATCAAGTAGTCTAAGAAGCATTAGACTTGCAATGTGCATTCAAATAACAAATGATGGCGTTGCGAAAGCAGTTGTGAAACTACCATTGCTTGAAGACCTAGATGTTTCATACTGCGGATTTTCTGGAGAGTCTCTGAGAGTTGTAGGCCCGTCTTGTCCAAATCTGAAAACATTGAAGCTAAACCGCAGCCCTGCAATCGGCTTTTTTTATTGTGAGCCTAATAATATCGCCATAGCAATTGCAGAAAGTATGCCTGAGCTACACAATCTACAGCTTTTTGGGAATGGACTAAACAACACGGGCTTGAACGCCATTCTTGACGGATGTCCCCACCTGGAACACCTTCATTTACGCAGATGTTTCAACATCAAGCTTGTCGGGGTACTCAAGAAGTGATTTTCTGAGAGGATTAGAGTTTTAAGACGCCCCCATGACTTAACTGCTGATTTCCCATTTGAAGACACCAGTTATCCCCCCAATTGTTCAGATTATGATGACTTCAACGAGCCATATGGTTGCTACGACAGTGATGTTGAACATATATGCATGAGTTCTCTTGTCCATGTTCAAGTTACTATTATTTGGACTAGATGTTGACTCTTTGTGAATAAACAATGCAGAGACAGGTTGTTTTGCCGGTCTTGTTAAGTTTAATCGCGTCGCGTGTGGATGTGACTTAAGAACTCCTTTTTTTTTTTTTTTTTCTTTCTTGAGTTTCCAAAAAATGGGCTCTGCGCTCTGGTTACATTTTGTGTTGGGTTCAGATAAAAGTTAATAAGTTAGGCCTAAGGAATGTTCTCTTATGTTCCAGGCCGTTGAGGAAATAGTTGTGGGTATCATATAAATTTTAATGGGAAAAAAAAATAGTTAATTGTGGACGTCACGAAGCCCAGCAAAAATTTGATAATGTGAGTTAAAAACTTACATACAAATTGTTGGCTAATTATTAGTGGTCTTTACTTCAATAAAGTAGTAGTTTAGAACCATAGACGATGCACCGTAGAACTAGGATTATCAACAACAAAAAAAACGTAGAACTAGGATATTGCAGCGTGAAATTTAGTTGTTTGTTATTTGTTATTTGTATTTTGATAATTTTCTTTATTTCGATGGTCATTAATTATATCAGTTTTTTCCAGCATTTTAATTCTTTTTAAAAATTTATAGTGTTTTCCAAGCTTTAATTTTATGTAGAATCAGCTATTTTCATAATTATGAATGTCAGATATCGTAGAGGCAACGGATAAATCATTTTATGGTATCAATGATCGAAAACAATAAACTAAAAATTTCAATATTAACCCTGGCTCTCTCGCTCTCGTATCTATACGATGCTCTTTTTCTTAAGTTAAGGGAAATCACTACAATATTAACCCTGGCTTGTGGCTTCAATTTGTAATCATTATACGTTTTCTCCTACTTACTCAAAAGGTAATAATACTCTGTTTTTTTTATCACATTTAAAATCAAGAATCATATTTCTTTCTTTCTAAATTATTGTTTAAATGTTATTCGTAGATGTAAGAGAGAATGTAATCATCATGGACTATGTGTCTACAATGGACCGTGTTATACCTAACTGCATATATTGTAAGGGCATATTTATCGGGACAACTGATGTAGTGATCTTAGGTATTAAAAAATTGAAAATATTCAAACAGTAGAAGAGCAAGCTGAATTGTGGTCTTCATCAAGATCTGTTCTAATACTAGTTCTAGGGTCATTTGTTGGTTAATGATTAATTTTTGTTGGAAAAAAAAAAAAAGAATATTATTTTAATAATTTTTATATTCTAAGATCTATCCTATAAGTTATTCTGTTGCATATGGTCTAAGAATGAGAGTGGACTAACGTAACTGACTTCCCACTGGAGACCATTGGCTTCTGCCAAACCAGTCCTAGAGGTAATGGCAACATTAATTTGTTGTTGTGCGAAAGATTTCCGGCAAACTGAAAACAAGATGTAATTTAATTTGAATTACTTCTAAACAACTAAATAATGGTATTAGCTATTAAGGAAAATCGATCAAGATTTTGAATTAAAAAATCATATATTTGTAGACAGTATATGGAACTATCGATACATAAACTTAATTTGCAAAATTAATTAATATTTATAATCTTCCAACCACCTAAACCTAAAAGTAATTATTTTTCATATTTGATTAGTGAACATGTAGATGAACGCATGTAGTATTATAACTTGCAATACATATTAGTTCAGCTAACGCCAGACGCCTAAGCTAGCTGCATCCGAAAATCAAGCAACACTTGGGTGGTTGTAATTCGCGATATGTCCGAAGTAACCTTGTTTGAGGGTTCAGCCATATTGTTGTTTATTCGAGCATTGATCCTAATGAGGCCTCTCCATTTATTGTATACGTATTAAATTTTATTGTTAATATTGGTCCCTCTTTCTTTGAATAATTGGTAATATCTGTCAATTTGTTATTGTTGTTTCTAAGAAATATTATGTGTAGATTTAGGTCAAACGTTTTTCTTGCATTTTTAAAATCTAGGCATTTTTTTTTCTTATGTTAAAGAAAAAGAAATCTAGGCGTTGAAATAAACTATGTTCCATCTTCCATTTAGAATTTTTTTCTGTCCATTAATCTTCCGTTTATTAACGTGTGTGTATATATATATATTTTAAGATAGTATATATATATCCTTAACATCATTTTATAATTACATTAAACTTGAAGGACAAAAGTATAAATTGGAGATAGAAGCCGAAAGGTCCAAAGACTACTACTACTTCACTTCGGCATATCTCTTTTCTCAAAAATGGCTTCCTCTTCAACATTATCAAAAAATCAAAAAATGGCTTCCTCTTCTGTGCCTTCACTGATGAAAGACGAAGAGCCGAGAAACTGGGCGGAGCTTCCATCGGAGTTGACGTTTTCGATACTGAATCGGCTTGGTGCGATTGATATTCTTGAAAATGCTCAGAAAGTGTGCACATCGTGGCGTCGCGTCAGTTTAGACCCCTTGATGTGGCGAAAGATTGACATGCACTACCTCGGAGACATGGGAAGCATGATATATGACTTCGAGAGCATGTGTCGTCACGCAGTTGATCGTAGTCAAGGTGGTTTGGTTGAGATCGATATTTGGCACTTCGGTACTGATGATCTCCTCAATTACATCGCTGATAGGTTCTGTCTCTTCATCTCTCTCTTTCTCTGTGACTCAAAAGCACGTTAAAATATTTAATATTGTTAGCTTATGATTGTTTGTGAAGGATTTTGTGACACTCTTGTTATGTAGATTTGTCTTGTTTCTTTCCTTATATTGATTCTCCGATGAATGCACTTTGGAGTTTGGACATTGAGTTACTTGTGAACATGTACGCAATGCAAGTTAGAAATAAATTTTGTTGATGAAGCGTACTCTATAAGATTGAATTGAATGTGCATGTTTTGAGACTGTTATTGTTTAGCTTTTATTTCATTGAATGTGCATGTTTTGAGACTGTTATTGTTTAGCTTTTATTTCATTCTGGACTAGAAAAATGTACATGTATTTAGGATTGTTGTGCTTCTGAACAACAGAACCCGACTTGAGCACATTGATCCGACTTGAGCACATTGACATGAAACAATATAATGAAGCTCTCACCTTTATTTATAAAAAAATTCTATTGTGATGGGGCTCACTTTAGAAAAAAAAAAAATTATTATAGAAAAAAGCCACTAGTATTATTATTTTGAGAAAACTATCATATGGCCCAAGAATTAGTTGGTCCAGCTTCTGAACTCTAGATGTTTGGCTTTAGGTTTTTTCCGGGTGCTATAAAAATAGATCTTTTACATCTTTATCTTAAATTCTGTCTGTAACTTTTACACATGACTTGCTTGCAGGTCAAGTAATCTGAGAAGCCTTAGACTTGCAATGTGCAATCAAATAACAGATGAGGGAGTCACGGAAGCAGTTGTGAAACTACCATTGCTTGAAGACCTTGATGTTTCATTCTGCGCATTTTTAGGAGAGTCTCTGAGAGTTGTAGGCCAGTCTTGTCCTAATCTGAAGACATTGAAGCTAAACCGCAGCCCTGGAATTGATTGTTTTTTGTTTAGACCTAATATTAATGCCATAGTAATTGCAGAAAGCATGCCCAATCTACGCCACATCCAGCTTTTTGGGAACGAAATAAACAACACAGGCTTGAACGCCATTCTTGACGGTTGTCCGCACGTGGAACATCTTGATTTACGCAAGTGTTTCAACATCAACCTTGTGGAGGATATCGAGAAGCGATGTTCAGAGAGGATCAGAGTTTTGCGACGCCCCTATGACTCAACTGCTGATTTTCTATTTGATAACATCTGGTTTCTCGAATGTTATTCTGATTCTGATTCTGATGACGCCGACAGGGATGACGACTATGATGACGACAGTTCAAGTTCAATGGCGTGAGGTTCATGTCTTCTATTCTCTGTGTTCTTAGTTTTTTGTGTCCTTATTTCTTTTGAATTTTAAGAAGTTTTGAACGTGTGATTCTAAAAGCACAAACATTACAATGAGTTTTAAAAAAAAAACAAACAAAATGGATACCTTAATTATCGAATTTTAAATATATTTATTTTAGTAGGCAGCAGTGCCGGCTTAAGAGGGAGGGCAATGGGGCGTGGGCCCAAGGGTCCATAAATTTTGAGCAAAATTTTTTACTAAATTAGAGGGTCTATGTTTTGAAAAATGTTAAGTTTAGGGGTCCAAAAAATATTATTTATCCTTAATAACCTAGAAAATTTGTATTTATTAACTTTAGTTATTTTATTTGTCCAAGGGCCCACGAATAACTTGAGCCGGCCCTGTAGGCACAGTAAAATGATAAATGGCTCTTCTTACATTTTAGTTATCAAAAAAAAAAAAAGTGTGATACATGTATAATTTTAGGGAATATGCATAAAAAGACAATAAATCTTCATTTGCAATTATGCTTATATCTATATATGCATTTTATATATTACATGTTATTTTCCAAAATTACACAAAACATTCAGATGATTCCATAGTGAAAAACTTCCAACGAATGCGTAAAGACATCAGAACAAAGGACCACTCATCTATCTTTCCTCCACCACCACACCCACCACATCCTCCACCACCACAACCAGCGAATATCTCCGACGTAAGCTTACCAACCTTCTTCACCCGTTCCACAAATCCCATTTTTTCTACATCGTTGGGAATCTTCCTATTTCCTTTCCACTGTTAACACAAGTTTTTTAATAAAATATACTCCCTCAGTTTCAAATTGAAAGATGTTTTAGGGATTTTTTTTTGTTTTAAAATATAAGAAGTTTTACAATTTTTAATGCACATATTAAATGTAATTAACATTTTTAACTATTTATATTCTCTAGTCTCTTTTGTAATTGGTTGATTTTTTAAAATTTAAATATTAAATGATAGTTTTAAAAAGAAAAACAATTTTCTTACACTATATTCTTTTAACTAAAACATCTTATAATTTAATTTGAAATAGAGGGAGTATTATTTCTTTCCAAATGACATGCTATTTACTTCAATGTAAGTTGTAACATATTATTTTTATATGTTAAACGCTATTCAATTCAATTTTATCCATTAACATGCTTTTTGTAAAACATATTGTGTTTTTACAAATAACATGTTATTAAATATAATATAATATATTAAATTGAAACGTTACATGCTATTTTCCAAAAACTCACAAAAATTAACTTCTTTCCGTCTTCGCCATCGAATCTTTCTCTCATTTTATCCAACTCCAAAACAAAAGAATGGTAATTTTGTCAATTCACTCATTCTGAAACATGGATCCATAGTCATTTTCTAATAAAAAAAAAAATTCATGACTACTTACTTAATTTTTCTCAAAACTTCTAATTTTTTAATATTACCCATAATTTTAGTTAGGCTCTAGATACATTTTAGGTTGGTCTGTGTGAAACGAACTTGATGTCTGTTTACATTTTGTGTTGGGTTCAGATAAAAGTTAATGGGTTAGGCTTAAGGAATGTTCTCATATGGTCCAGGCCAGAATTCAAAGGGAAAAGACAACAAAAAAGATAACAATGGAAGGCCAGCAAAAATTTGGCAACGAGACTTTGTGTCTTGTGGTTACAAACTTACGTACAAATTGTTAACTAAATATTATTGGTTTTTAGTTGAAGGGGAAATTTTAAAAAGTTTTTCATTTTCAATATCAATTTTCAAAAATGTTTTTTCTCTAAAACTTTAACAAAATATCTTTAAAAATCTGAAATATATCCAAATACGTGTATAACCTTATAAAAGTATACATAACCTATTTCTATACGTGTGTACAACATTGTAAATATCTAATACCTTATAAATATTTTATAAACTTTTTGTATAACCTTATAAATCATATTTATGAAAGTTGGCTAACTCTCTCCATATGGTTGACACATCATCACTTTAGCATTTGCCATGTGTCCACTAAATAATTAATGTAAACTTTACTTCTTCTATTTCATAGGTTAATAGTATATTTATTATTTAATTTTACATATTGAATTAATTATACTAATACTAAACTATTTTGTTATTATAAGTTTTTTCCAATTAAATTATTTTATTGGTTTTCTCATATTCTAAAGTTTTTTTCACTTAAGTTTTTTTCCAATGAAATTATTTTATTGGTTTTCTCATATTCTAAAGTTTTTTTCACTAATTTTTGTAATCTTAACTGAAAGTATGAGTGGATAATAGTGTAGTGGATTAGCTAATGGTTTGAGTAAGTTATAAACTGAGGGTGATGAGTACGTAAAATAAAATTATACTAACCAGAACTTGGATTTGGCAAGAACCACGTTCGTCGCCCAGAGCATCATCCTGTAAATCTTTGCTGCTCATCCTTCTCCGTCGGGAGAGCTCTTCCGACTATTTGATACTAGTGAAGCTGCAAGTACAAAATTCTGAACAGATTTGCCGAAATTAGAAAACGGAAAACATCAATGCGCTAAATTGTAAGCAGGAGAAGTAAGAACTCTGGCTAGATTTAACGAGATTTTACCCTGAAAACACCCATTTTCGTCTTCACCAATGATTGAATCCTCCAAAAGATGCAAACCCTCATGAAAATTGGCCAACTTTCTCCATATGGTTGACACATCATCACTATAGCATTTGCCATGTGTCCACTAAATAATTAATGTAAACTTTACATCTTCTATTTCATAGGTTAATAGTATATTTATTATTTGATTTTACATATTGAATTAATTATATTAATACTAAATTATTTTATTATTATAATTTTTTTTCCAATGAAATTATTTTATTGGTTTTCTCATATTCTAAAGTTTTTTTTACTAATTTTTGTAATCTTAACTGAAAGTATGAGTGGATAATAGTGTAGTGGATTAGCTAATGGTTTGAGTAAGTTATCACTGAGGGTGATGAGTACGTAAAATCATCAAATTTTTGAGATTCTATAATCCCAACATTATCATCGATAAAATTAGTTTATGACAAAAATTGTTTAAGGATTGTGTGTGTGATGCATTGTTGATGAGAATGTTACTAGAAAATGTACTTTAATATTAACGGTAGTTGTCCATTATATGATTAAATAATTAGATAATTAAAAATTATATTTATCAAAGTATAATATTTAATAAAACAAAATAAAAAAACGGAGAAAACCCGCAGCGTAGCGCGGGTGATCACCTAGTACATTTTTAAACTTTATAAATACCTTGTAAAACCTTATAAAATAGCTTATAAATACTAACGAACCTCCGATTAGTAGTTACCATCTAGAAGTGCTTATTTTTATATAGGAATGTGAATATTATATAAAATGAAAGTTTTAGGTTTTACAAAAGAGCTTAACCTAGAAGATTGTAATCTTGCCAAAAAAAAGAATAAAGTAAAAGGATTACAAAGTTTATTGAGTGTCAATCAACACGATTATCTAATCCAAAGCGCCATCAAATTCCTGAATTGCCTCTGGTTCTTTCTGGCCGTGATGGTATTACGCAGTTCCTTCTCAATGTTTTTGAAAACTGCAGTTAGTGTGGCAGAGACCAGGTTATGAATAATATTATTCCTTAGCTTCTAGAGGTGGTACATAGCTGCTTGGCACGCAAGCTTCCGAAGAATTGGTGGGGAATAGACTTTTTTCATCATTGTCTAGGCAATAAGCGCCGATGACCAAGTATAAAAACCACAAGGGGATAAGTGAAGGTGTGATTGAATCAACGTCCAAACCTGCTCGCTGAAAGGGCATATAAGCGATGACCAAGTTAGAACTGCTTTATAAACCTTATATTTAATAAGGGATATTTTTTAAAACTTATAAAAGTATTCACAAAAGGGTATTTCTAAAAGAATCTCTAGTAGTAATGCAACATATGTAGTTCAATGCATTTAGTAATTACTATTGAATGGCAAGATCATGTGTGTCTTGCCAAAAGCAGCTTTGAATTATGGTTGTTTTCTAGTGCGTAATACTTATTTAGAAATTTCGTACAAGAATGCTATATACAAAGAAAAAAACAAAATTTACTTGTATTACTTCTACAAACAATTAAAGAAATAAAGAACTAGTTAATTGATTAGTAGATGTTACATATAATAAATCTACCCTGCTTTTTCATTAATTCCATGGGCAGTTTATTATATCATTTCTATTTCCTATCATTTGATATAACATTTTTCTACTCGTTTGAACTTTAGTGGGTTTCTGTTTGTATTTTCAAAATGCTACTTTAGTGGGTTTCTGTTTGTATTTTCAAAATGCTAATAAAACTAGGGAACTTTACTCAGATGTATAACATTTTATATGAAATTATCAGATACATACAGATCTTCTTTTTATTACTATTATATTTCGGGTCTATTTTTTATACCCAGCGTGCCCCTGTTAAACGTTACAGGAAAAAACGTAATTACAAAGAATGCCACTGCCATGTCAGCAAAGCCGCGTCGCCACGTCAGAAATCGCTGACGTGTATTAATGAACTCAGCCGTAAAGCGATACAGCGGCAGTGACGGCTGAGTTACGGTTAGTAGCGGCTGATTTATGGAAAATGACTGAGTTATGAGCAAACGGCTGACTTACGAGTATAACTCAGACATTAGTTACGGCTGAGTTAATGAAGTCGGTCTGAATTATGAGAAAATGGCTGACTTTCGAGCATAACCAAGCCTAAGTTACGGCTGAGATTTCACCCGTAGGTTGATTTGTCAAAATTTTGGCTGAGTTATTGCTTCGACACGGCTGAGTTAACTTTTTCCGGTTGGCTGAGTTATCAAAGACGGCCTAGTTATGTGATGTCGTTACGGCTGATTTAGCCTCTAGTGTCATAAATCAGCCGTAATGAGCTGAGTTAATGGAAAACTCGGCCCAATTACGGCTGACTTAGTAGCGAAAGATTAATTACTAGAATAGCTTGCAATTACGGCCGACTTATCAAACGATACGGCTGAGTTAAAGATTTTCGGTTGAGTTACGACATTAAACGGCTGAATTTGGCTGCATTTTTTTCGATTTTTAATTACT